ATGTCTGGGTTTGGACCTATGGCCATCAGTATATACAAATGTGTTGCTGGGGAGGGGAGGCATGATTCAGTGAACTTACACTATTGTACCACAAACTTTGCCCCTTTTATACATGCGTCATGCACCAGGAGCTTGTATGTTAGAAGATTCAGCTTCTATTGAGACCTTAAGGTTAAACACAGATTTTAGCCACCTCTTGCACATCTTCAGAATACTCTTGCTCAGGAGTTTCAAAATTACTGCTAAGCCTCTCTTAGTCTCCAGAGCATCACCACAAACCAAGTCTGATACAAGAATTCAGTTATACTTTGATGTATCAGAGAGTTGACACTTTCAATACAGTAGGAATCTCAAGTGTGCCTTAAATAATTTTGGGTTCTGGCCTTATTGAGATTCCTCACTAAGAGCAGACCAGCCAAGAAGAGCTGCTCCCATAATGGATTAATATAACTGCTTGTGTCTTTTTTCCCCTTATCAATATCCTCTGGCTGCCTGTATGGCTCATCATAGTTTCAGAAATTTTAAAAAAATTACCGAGTCTTATGTATGACTTAGGGTTAGTGTACTATAACAAAAATACAGCTGGGTGGCTTTTGGGTGAATTGTATTTACTTTAATGCGCTACTAACTTTGGTGAATTTAGTACTGTATAAGTAGTAAGATAGATTGATTACCCAATTTGAGCAGTGTTTTCAAGAGCTTTAATTATGGCATTAATATAAACATTTAAAAAGAGAAGGGCAAGTATACAACCTTACTTCACTCTTTTTTTTAATTGGTATTGGCATGAAAAGATGGCTCAGGCAGAACCTAACCTATATTTGGGCATTTCTAGGTAGCTGCATAATCAGAAGCTTTCGTATAAATAAAAATCTTACGACTTCAGTGGTTGTACGTGTATATGCCACACGTTTTCTGTTCATACAAACATGTTCTTGTTTCCCTTGTTCTTATAGCCCTGTACATGTGAGGGAAAATCTATAGTAGCAGTTACTGGATTTGTTACATAGTGTTCCATAGTACTGGGGAAATAAATCTATATGTAGGAAAGATAGAATGAGTTTCTTCTGCCAAGCCTCACATAACTGTCAAACACAAGTGAGAACTGCATGAATTACAGAAAGGCTTTTTTAATACTGAGGCAAAAACATAATATTAAAAAAAATGAAAGAGTATATTTCTTGACTAACTAATAGTGAGTCAATTACGGTGGAATCTCTTTGAAATGCTTCCTTCTGGTGATATTACCTTTTCTCACCTAAACTGAATTCTCCTTCCCGGTTTCTTTCCCACCATCTCTCACATCCTCTTACTTTAGATGACTCCCCAAAGAGTAAGAAGGATGTAGGCTGAACACCTGCTGCTTCTTCCCTTAAGGACAGCGATTGGGAGACTTTGGATTTTTTGAAGGGGCAATTCATTTCAAGGGAGCCATTTGCAAATGGAAGTAGGGATCCCTGACTTTGAATTCAGGATACGGAATTCGGAGTCTGTCAAGAATATGTAATTAATGTTGTTTCTGTTTTAAAATTATATCCAGATGCAAAAGAGAGTGGGAATGGGTTTTTGGCAGTTGTGACATCACTTACAGGCCATTCAAAGTTACAGTTGAAAGGTTTATCTCAGAATATAATTTACTTCTTGTGGATTTTTCAAGCAAATTTCTAGCAACTTTTTTGCATGTGTGTATAAATGTATTAATGCACGCATTTGTCTAATTTTTGTAGATACATTTAACATCATCAAACAACAGCATCTTCTTGTTCTTGGAAAGGACTAGATAGGTGAATAAAAAGGCCAATTTCAGTCTATACATCAGCTGACTGTGCAGCCATCCGTGATAATAAATTGATATGGCGCCTGACTCCCAATGACTAAAACAGCTATATTGTAGTCAAATTCTTTTATTTCCTCTTAATTAAAAATAATGTAGTTAGCATCATTTTCTCAAGGAACTAAGTTAATTAAATACATTTTTGAGCCCTAGTGAATCTCTTGACAAAATCATCTGTTTCACATAGGTGAGAAATTACCAGAACAAAAAGTATCATTGGGAGCTTCTTATTCTGTAAAGCCTGTTTTGAACAGTCCTATTTGTTTTGCAACTGATTATTTTATTAATTTTCTTCAGAACATGTAGGAGTTAACAACTATTGAGTAGGAATAAGACATACATTCACATCTTTTGTTTTGCTTGTCTTCCATTCATCTGTGAGAATAGATATAGAATAGAATAGAATTCTTTATTGGCCAAGTGTGAGTGGACACACAAGGAATTTGTCTTGGTGCAAATGCTCTCAGTGTACATAAAAGAAAAGATACATTTGTCAAGAGTCAAGAATCATAACGTACAAGACTTAATAATAGTCATAGGGTACAATAAGCAATCAAATCATACTAGGAAATAGTCAACATATAGTCAAATTGCTATAGAAAGGGGTAACCTTTCTATAGCAATAAAAATGCTTTGAGCTCCCTATTAATATATACTGTTTTAGACATGGGGAAGATTTTTGGATCAGAAGACAACTCATCCCTGAGGTTGAGATCAGTATATCTTGTCACTCTCCATTTTATAATTATTTCACCGAAAATAGGTTAATGAGTGACCAAAGAATTGAACTGAAATCCCTGCCTGATCCCATTTCATAAGCTTTCATCACCAGGATTGTTAAGTTCACTCTGATGAGAGATCACACCCAGTTCCACAATTTAATTCAGAGCCAAACCAGATGTTACATTAACTTCGTGATAAGCAAGAGTTGTCCCCAAAACTGGGCTCTTGCTTGATTCAAAGCCGATAAGTCACCGAACACAAGATGTGATACAAAATTATATTTTTATTTTGGTACCAAGATATAAGGACCTTGGACTTGAAAGGAACCAAGGCCCTGATTACAATCTAACAGCAATTCTTATAGTTAGAGGATGGTCCCATTTAACCCTTTGCCCTTCCCCTAATAATGCACGCATAACAGATAATATTGATTGGTTATTTGGATTATAGCCCCCTAAACCTTTATGCTTGCTATGCTAAATAACTAAATGTCACGTCACCTACCGATTCTGTGGGCGTGGCTTGGTAGGCGTGGCAGGGAAAGGATACTGTAAAACAATGCCTGGACTAGTCCCTACAATTCTTTTGGTAAAGTTTTTCAGAAGTGGTTTGCCCAGGCTTGCTTCCTACAGCTGAGAGAGAGGGACTGGCTTCCAAGGTCACTGAGCTGGCTTTGTGCCTAAAATGGGCCTAGATCTCCCAGTCTCCCAGTTTCTAGTCTGATGCCTTGGTTGCTACATCAGTCTGGCTCAAACACGACTGGTAGGAAGATTAAAAGCAGCTCTGGTGACCTGCCATAGTTAACAAAAAGCAAGTTATGATTCCCCTCCCTCCATTGTCAAGAGTATTGCTGCTGTTGCTTATCAGAAGTGTTTGCATTATTTTTATTTGCTCGATTTTATTTGAGTTCATTCTGATCTCATTCCCCTCTTGCTATTTCTCTGATACATTGCAAACCTGTGGTTGCACAGGAACTGAAACCTGATACTAACAGATAAGGGATAATCAGAGTTGGATGGGACCTTGTAGGATCTCCCAAGTGGGAAACCCTACACCATTTCTGACAAATGGCAGTCCAATCTCTTCTTGAAAGTCTCAAGTGATTGCGCTCCCACAACTTCCGAGAATGGGAGATCAGCAAATTAGAATGGGAGGTCAGCAATGAGAATTCTGGTTGTTGTTGTTTTTTACAGTGATACAGAAATTTTAACTTCTCAACTTGAAAACAGGGGAAAAGCTTTAATTGAAAAGCTGTGGATTTTTGTTTTTTAATATTTATTGGGAGTAAGAAAATATCAAAACAAACCCCAAAAGCTTTTGGAAATGGATCTTCATCCATTAATGGCTTAACTTGATATTTTGGATGCATTGCTTCTCGGTTGACGAGATGGAAAAGAAAAAGAGCTGGAAAATATGGGAAATGTAATGTGAAAATTTGGAAATAATTGATTGGGTTCCATGTTAGAGAGTCCCCACTTCTCCCTTTATGTAACAGAAACAATGGTAAATTTGTATGTTTTAACCTTATTTGGTAAAATTATACTGAATGAACAAGTTGGGTAGGCATATGTATGTAAAGACCAGAACTTTAAGGAAATTCTCGATTGATGCGCATGTCATAGGCCTTGGTTGTTGTTGTCTAAAATGAAATGAAAAGGTTATTGATTGCATATCGGTGTTGTATTTATTGGTTGTGTCTGGAATATGCTACTTTTCATCATCTAAGTGTTCAATTTTATTTGCTATTATGGAATAATAATTTAAAAAGTTGTAGAGTGATTTGTAATGAAATTAAAGAAACATAGAGAAAAGTTTGTTGTGGATCTTTCAGGCAATGGAGAGAAAAGTCCCTCTACAGAAAATAAAGATAACACTCTAAATATGATGGACCTCAATCCAAATAGGGTCCCCAGATACATAAAACATCCTACCTGGAACTTAAAATCAGAAGGGAAGAGCTTGTGGCCAGGCTTTGGCACAAACAGCTGGAGCCTTGATGTAACAAAATTAATAGGATCCTACTCCTGTTGCAACCTTTTTGTTCCTTGCTCTAATACTATATTGTGCATAATATTTTATTTCAAGCCACTGCTGAATCAAGGGATTGTTTGGATGCCCCTAGATCTGCATTAAGAAGAGATAATTCTCTGAACCATAGAAGCGCATGGAACTAAAAAACACCCGAAGTGTAATGTAATGATGTATTAGTCCACTGTTGTTTGTTCTGACTGGCCCAAGCTCTTCCCAAATTCAAGAAGAGATTTTTCCAGCCTGTAACTTTTGCTTGAATTCCCTTTAAATGCTGGAGTTTAAATGGGGATCAGCCTATATATAGCACATGTGTCCCACTCATGAAGATGTTCGATTTAAATTGAACTAAATTTTATTGTGATTTATCTGTTTAGTTATTAACATTTTCCTCTTTCCTCTACCGACTCTGCAGGGCCTATATGAGCATGAAGGAACTTAAGGAGATCCTTCAGCTGAACAGCACACACTTCCTCAATATCTATTTTGCCAGCTCCGTGCAAGAAGAGCTAGCTGGTGCTGGCACCTGGCCTTGGGACAAAGATGCCCTCAGTCACCTGGGTAAGTATGAGGCTTATCGGTTGACTTTGGTACATATTGTATACTTGTTATAGATGCAGAGACAATTTCTTGTAGTGGTTAAGGTGTTGGCCTACAAATTAAAAGATCTTGAGTTCTATTCCCGCCTTAGGTGTGAAAGCCAGTTGGGTGACCTTGGGCCACTTGCACTCTCTCGGCCCAACTTACCTCACAGGTTTATTGTTGTAGGGAAAATAGGAGGTTCTTAACATTGGTATGTTCGCTGCCTTGAGTTGGATAGAAATGAAAGTCAGGATAAAAATCTTTTTTTTAAAAAAAATGATTCAACATTATCCTTCATGGCATAAGCCCAGTTTAGGCTAGCACAGTGATGTGCAATCATTTCAGGCTGAGAGTTATATTGGGAATGTGGGAGTAGACAGGGTTAAGGCAAAAATTGTTTTGGATTTAATTTTAAATAAATGTGAGAACATTCTACAAGTATTTAATAAATGTTTCCTTTGTTATTTTAAAGTAAAACTGCCATTTAAATGTTGAGAGGGTACAATTATGGTTTATCATACTCCACAGTTATAGATAATGATTCTTAAAAAGTCAGTATTTCCTTTTCTCTTACCACTTATTGCTTGCTTCTTCTATCTATAGATAATACGGGCAGTCTTGACTGTCAAATGTGACATGTACTGAAATTTTTTTAGCCCCTTTTAAGATGATTTTGTCATTAATTGGATTAAAAAGTCACATAAAAGTGTTAGGCCAACCTGGTTATTTTATTGTAGAGGAGAAGATATATACTAAATGAAGTATTTTTTTTAATTTACTGGATTTATATGGCTGCCCATTTCACACATATGATTCAGGGTGGCTTGCAATGTTAAAAACGATAAAATCATGTACAGAAATATAACATTCATAGAAACCAGTAAAAAGATCTCAGAGCCAAACTCCAAGATTCAACACAGCCAGACAAGAGGCTCCATTCAACACTTGGACGCCAGAGTCTTATCTTCAGGTCTTACAGAAGGACAACAGGGATGCATCCCATCTGATCTTTGGAAGGATCTCATTCCAGAAAGTAGGTGCTATGATAGAAAAGGCCGCTCTCCTAGGCTCTGCCAGCTTGTTACTCTTCAGCTGATGGCATCCAGAGCATGCATGGGATGGGTTGAAACAACCAGAAAGAGAAAGTCCTGCAAGTGACCCTTATATTCTTATAGAAGTTATAGTCACTTCTTATGAGACGCGCAACTATGTACGTTTGACAGATAGATGGACAGACAAGCATAACTCCTCTTCCTTATTTGCCTACCAGTTTGTTCTGTAATCACAACAAATGTACATTTGAATGCATTTTACATGACATATCTATGCAATAATGATGTAACTGAGTTGTTGATTGATAAATGTTTGCAGAATCTGCCAGATTTATTTCCTATCAGGCAAAACCTTTTTGTATCTGAGAATTTATCTTTATAGTATTGTTAGAAGAAAAGGGGGGGGAAAGCCAGAGCTGTAATAGAGTAATATACAGGTTATTGTTTTGGTTGTCCTAGAAGTACATAGGCAAATTTAATCTATGAATATAGTATCTTCATATATCTTCTTTTTGGAAGACTGCCAATTGGAGCACAGTGAAATGTGTGAATTACATCATCCTAATCCTATATTATTTTGGAATACTGAGCTGATCTAAGTACCCAGCTGGCCTTTTGTTATAGATTTGTATGCCTATATGGATTGATTTTATTATCCTTCCTGATGAGACCGACAATCTATATTTAGGGTTCTCAGTGTGAGCTCTAGTTCAGCATGATTGTTAGTCATTGTGCTTATAGTAGATAAAGAGAAACCATAATGGTGCAATTTCTTCCCTAACGTGTGCTTCCACAAAATGAGAGGAATTTATCTACCAAAATTAAGAATGACATTTTAATTTTACCAAAGATTAAAAATTCTTACTCACTGGTGCACCGAACACTGTTTAGTCCCATTTTAATGTGGGCAACTGGATTTGGGGTAATTTTGAAATCCACTGGGCACTTTGTGTCATACAAGTTAAAGTCCATTGCATCTTAGAGAATAGTACCAAGTTACTTGAAGCATTTGATTTGTTCCATGATTGTCCTTCTGAAGTCCATTTTAGGATGCTGGTTTCATAGCAAAAGCAAGTATTTAGTTTTAGAACCATTAATTGATAGCAAATGTTCTTTCCAGCAGTCAAATAAAGGGTTCAAAAATCTTCTTCAACCTATTAGAGTTAGAGAATAAATAACAAAATTGTCTTCTTATAGTAATATTGAGAGATGCATAGAAGCCAGCTTCAGTGGGTGATAATTTGGCTTATCTAAATTTTAATCACAGAAGTGATGTAATGATTCAAAATCTAATACAGTCCCATTTAACTCATTTGTCTGCTTGAATTTTTCCTTTAAATAAGTTTTAGGAAATTCCAACAAGAATTTTTGTATAACAGACAAATCAAAAGTAGCAGATAATGGTCAGATATGGAGCTCGCTTCTTCTTTGCCAGAATAATTAGAAAATATTAAATCAAAAATATATTTAAGATTAACAAAATACTGCATTCAGGGCAGCGATTAGTTTGTTGCTATGTTTTTCAGCCAAATGTGATTAAAATTAAAGCCTGTTTCATTAATGAACAGCCTGAATAAAAAGCCTGCATTCTTGTCTGCCAGTATGTTTTCTGCTTCAGTCCAGCTCAAAATTCTATCAGAGTATACCATTTTTTAACTATGTTAATAGAAACAATTCAAATGAAATTTACTTCCATTTTGTTACAATTCAACATAATTTTGTTCCCCAGCCATTGAAATTTGGGCTTAATAATGTGTAAAAACAAAGAGGCCAGGAGTGACCTAGATGGTTCTTGATTTGTTTAGAAGAGATGAAATCTATTATTGATGCTCTAATTGATTGTAGTTTCTTGGCTAACATTACAATACCAGAAGCTCAGAGAGATGACAATGGTAATTCACCAACAATAACAATATCTAGAGTCAGTCTCAAAGAGCTGAAGAAGGTTGTTGGATGAGAAGCAAAACATCTTCAAAGAAAAACCATTTGCCTCTTGAAAAAGCACCTCTGTGACAACCATGACCTGGATGACTGAGAATTTTCCTAGACATTTAGATCTAGAGTCAGCTTCTGTTCTTTAGCAAATAATTTGTGAAATTGATCTTCCCACCCAATCATGTAGATGTGACTATCTAGGTCTGAAGGCTTCTGGGAAGTGGTCTGGCAGCTACTTGCCAGACTACTTCTCAATTATACAGCAGAAGTTTGAGCCAGATGTAGAGACTCCTCTTTTCTTTTTGATTTTTAAATACTTTTTGATTTTTTTAATACTATCTTAGATGCTGTGAATGATAGTGTATTAGTTTAATTAGAATTAGAATTCTTTTATTGGCCAAGTGTGATTGGACACACAAGGAATTTGTCTTGGTGCAAATGGTCTCAGTATATATAAAAGAAAAGATAACATTCGTCAAGAGTCAAGAATCATAAGGTACAACACTTAATAATAGTCATAGGGTACAATAAGCAATCAAATCATACTAGGAAACAGTCAATATAAATAATAAGGATACAAGTGACAAAGTTACAGTCATACAGTCACAAGTGGGAGGGGATGGGTGATAAGGAGTGATGAGAAGATTAATAGTAATAGTAGTGCAGACTTTGTAAATAGTTGAACAGAGTTGAGGGAATTATTTGTTTAGCAGAGTAATGGCGTTCTAGAAAAAACTGTTCTTGTGCCTAGTTGTTCTGGTGTGCAGTGCTCTATATAGTGTCATTTTGAGGGAAGGAGTTGAAACAGTTTATGTCCAGGATGTGAGGGGTCTGTAAATATTTTCACAGTCCTCTTTTTGACTCGTGCAGTATACAGGTCCTCAATGGAAGGCAGGTTGGTAGTAATTGTTTTTTCTGCAGTCCTAATTACTCTTTAAAGTTTATGTCTCTCTTGTTGGGTTGCAAAATTGAACCAGACAGTTATAGAGGTGCAGATGATAGACTCAATAATTTCTCTGTAGAACTGGATCAGCAGCTCCTTGGGCAGTTTGAGCTTTCTGATATCTTTAATATCTTTGAATGGCCTTAATAAAAGCTCTCTCTCTGTTGTATTTTAAAAAATCTTCATCAAGCAAGTACTTTTCTTTCTCTCTCAATTTTCAACACTTGATTTGGAACTCATCACTAATGGATATTGTACACGGTAGAGCCATTCAATACTATCAAGCAGAGAACTGCGCCAATGTTGATAAAAAGGGAAAAAACAGACAAAGCAAATTTAGCGAAAGTTAAAATACCTAAAAAAAATTAAAGAAGAAAGAAAATAATGGTATAAAAAGAACTATTGGCTTCTGACTTCTCCCTTTTCACGTTTGTTAATTTGCAAAATTTGTGGACATCCTTAAAAGTCAGATGGCAAATGTATTATATTTACCATGCTGTTGTAAACAGAATTATTGGTTCTATGGATAAATAGAAACAGTTATTCCAGAACAAAGTTAATTGAGAGGAATAACTGGGGGTGGGGGGGTGGGGGGGGAGAGCCAAGGATGAGGGATTTCCTTCACAGCAGCAGTTGACAAGAGGCAGTGGAAAGAAAGAAGGGGAAGCTCTGGGAAGATTGGGGGGGGGGGGTTTGGTGCAATGGAGTGATATCCTGGACAGGGAGATGATTCTTATCCTTAATCATCATATTAAGGAGCTGAAAGCAGGTCAGAACTGCAGCCCCAATGGTTGTGGGGAGGCAGGGAAGATAGGTGACAGGCCTGCCAGCGCATTGTACTATATTGGGAAATCAGTGGTGGTGGCTGAAGGATGCTGTACCAGTCTTGTCTTATTTGCCCTGCAGAAGTATTCCAAGATCCTTTCAGATTTTTGTCCAAAATGTGCTGCATTTTATTTTGGCCAACCATGACCAATCTAAAATAGTTTGGCAGAACTTTCCAAATACAATTTTTGTTTCAGTCTTGAAACAGAAATATTTTCTGATTT